ACTTTAAAGGAGTCATATGATGCGATTTCAAGTTTTGCTTTCTCTTTGAAGTGTTACAAGCTCTTGGTGCATGAAGAAGATCTGTATGGATTGGTTTTCACCGTGGATGAAGCAGAGTCCAGACCGGGGTCATCACATGTGGTTGCCGCAAGCCCACCGGCCGTTCCTTCGTTGAATCCTCCGGCCGCACCGGTCTCAAGCCCGCCCGCCACTGCTCACTCTAGCCGCCGGCCTCCGCTCACTTTCGTTGTGAAAGTGAAACTGCTTTGTTTGGTCTTCCAAAAGAGGACACGACTACAAATCAGTGGTTAAGTTGTATTTACAACACTACCCCTAATTAAATCGCGATTTATTTAGCATCTCAACCGATTTGAATAGTCACATATTTCAATCGATTTTCAACCGGCTCGCGGTTAATCGTTACATCCCTACAAATTTTTAATAATTATTTTTTATTAAAAATATTATATTTTAAAATTTTTAAATATTTAAAAAAATTGTATATATTGTTTTTACAATAAGTTAGGCCTAGAGGGCCCTGACTGTTCCCCACTGGTTTATGATTTGGAAATGATTTAACATTAACAGATGGGACAACATCCTCCGTGCATTTGTTGATGTAGCATATCACACAGTCTGTGTATTCATGTATGATGTCTCCTGCTGCATCTTGAAATATTTGCCAGTCTGTGGATTCAAAGCAGTCCTGCAGTCTGGAGATGGCATCTTCACTCCATTTGTGAACTGTTCTACAAACCGTTTTTTCCTGTTTGAGACATTGTCTGTAGGCTGGTAACAGCAGTATGCTAATGTGGTCACCTTTGCTGAATGCTGGTCGGGGGAGTTGTTTGTAACTGTCCTTTAGTGTTGAATAGCAGTGATCTAATGTCTGATCGCCTCGTGTGGGGAAATTTATGATGGTAAGTTAACCTTTCTTTCTGGAATACACCCCAGAACATGACACACAACTAATTAATCACCTGAACTTAGTTTTTTCTTGTTTTAAAATGCAACTAAGGCTATGTTCACACTACAAGCATTAGTGCTCAATTCAGATTTTTTTTGCTTAGATCTGATTTTTTATATGGCTGTTCACGTTATCATTTTTAAATGTGACGAATATCAGATTCCAATGTGAATGAATAACAGTGCTGAACTGGGGTGTATTCCAGAAAGCAAGATTAATTTACCGTCACATATACCCTGAACTCTCGGTTGATTAACCCAAACCTTGCTTACGACAACTATATAGATATAAAGATAGTAAACTAACCCTGAAACAGAACCTACTCCGGAGCAGGTTATGTTCAGGGAATAAGTTGCTATGGCTACTTACAAACCCTGAAAGTTACCTCCGTTTTTGGAACCAAAAGCTGGGGTTATCTGCTTACTTACTCCCAAACATACCTGGTTATGTCACATAATCTGCTTACTGGAATACGCCCCAGGAGTGAGTTCAGTCAACTCAGAGTATGTTCACGGTTAACACACAAGACATTCTCAACAGAGCCACGAATTGACGAGTCACGCCCACAGGAGACTCGTCAATAGGTCACGCATGCACTGATAGCTCTGAAGTAAACTAACCCTGAAACAGAACTTCCGGAGCAGGTTATGTTCAGAGAATAAGTTTCTATGGCTATTTGCCTACCCTGAAAGTTATCTCCATTTTTGGAACCGAATGCTGAGTTTATCCGCTTACTTACCCTTAAACATACCTGGGTATGTCACATAACCTGCTTTCTGGAATACCGTCCAAAGATTAATTTACCGTCACATATACCCTGAACTCTCGGTTGATTAACCCAAACCTTGCTTACTTGAGGTATGATGGTTCCAGAAACGCATCCTGGAGTAAGTTCAGTCAACTCAGAGTATGTTCACTGTTAACACACAAGACATCCTCAACAGAGCGACAAATCGACAAGTCACCATGGAAACCGACGCTAAGAAAAAGCGCGCCAAGCATCTTTCTTCTTCTTTTGTTCACTGTTCATTTACATAGTGCATATCACCACCTAATTTTTTTTTTGTTAAATCTTTTAATCACTGAGAATAAAAATTATATTGTTTGTTTGATGCTAATTATATAAGAAATATCACATATGTATTTTTATTATAGAAATACATTATAGAAAATGCAGATCCATGTGTGAGATGACAATAAAATGTAATAAATATATTAGAATAAAATAAACATTACTTTGTTATAATAGCGTTTTATAATCAATATACAGTATATCAACAACTATTATATATGACAATAAAATAAATATAATAACATATTAGAATAATATAATATTACCTTATATATTACTTATAATAGTGCTTTATAATTAACATATCAGACAACTATATAGATATAAAGATAGTAAACTAACCCTGAAACAGAACCTACTCCGGAGCAGGTTATGTTCAGGGAATAAGTTGCTATGGCTACTTACAAACCCTGAAAGTTACCTCCGTTTTTGGAACCAAAAGCTGGGGTTATCTGCTTACTTACTCCCAAACATACCTGGTTATGTCACATAATCTGCTTACTGGAATACGCCCCAGGAGTGAGTTCAGTCAACTCAGAGTATGTTCACGGTTAACACACAAGACATTCTCAACAGAGCCACGAATTGACGAGTCACTATGGAAACAGACGGTAAGACAAAGCACACCATGCTGGTCAATGGCTATTTACAAACCTAGTGCATATTGCCACCTAATTGGTTGTGCAATCATTTTTCAAACTTTTCGTTTCATCTTTAATCACTGAGAAAAATAATTATATTGTTTGTTTGATGTTGATTAATAAGACATATGATAATGAATTTTTATTATAGAAATACATTGTAGAAGATGCCCTGTTGTAAAAAGAAAAAAACAAAAACATTTGAATGCAGATCCATGTGTGAGATGACAATAAATATAATAAATATCTTAGAATAAATACATCTTGTTATAATAGTGCTTTATTAATATCGACAAACTTAAATATTACCTTATATATTATAGTGCTTATATATATATATATATATATATATATATAAATAAATATATGTGAACAAAATAAAAACAGAAATTCACGGAATAATGACGAATGTCAATCAAGAGTGATGTAAAAGTTGCATGAACTCTGATATGATCGTTCAGACTGCGGTCACATTGCAAAACATCTGACCTAAATCAGATTTAAGACCACATATGAAAGTGGCCCAAATCAGAAATGAAAAGATCAGTGGCCTATATCACGAAGCCGGTTTCAGTTTTTATCCAGGTAAGTTTGCGTTTAGTTTGAGTTTAGTTTTTGGGCTCAAGAAGGTGGGTTGGTTTTGAGCGGGTTTCGTCAACACGGCTACAGTTAGAAATCGCAAACCCAAATTGGACCAATCAGCTGTGAGCAAAGTGACATATCTGATGCAATAAAGCCACTCCTCCATCTCTCGCTTCAAATTAAAGCAGTTTAGAGGCAAATAATTTTAGAGACAAAATTGCTAGACTTTTGCGGCTATGTATTTATTATATTTATATATTGTATAAATTATAATTGTTTATAACTCATATATTAATATAATTATTATATGAAGTGGCAATACATTTTAAGCTTTGCATTTAAATTAATTTAAATATATATACATATAAGCTTTAATATATGCAACTTTTAAAATGACTAAATTTATGTTTTCCATTTGAGCCCTGTGTGAAACTACATAATTAAATTCAGTCGATTCATTTGCATAGTCATTTTTCTTTCTGCTGCCTTCTCAAACTTTTGCTGCAGCAGCAGTGTTTATTCCTGCCTTGTAAATGCATTTAAATTCATTACATTTTTAATTACGACATCTCTTAGTCTTCAGCAAAAAAGTGAACTCTTGCGAGAAGTTTAATCAAACTGACGCTTTGCTGACGCTCTCCACATGTGCCATGTGATTGGCTGTTTCCTGCATGTGTCACACTTTCAGGTGCACGCACTCTGGAGTTCATCACAAACTCTGGATCAAACTCTGAGCTGACTGAGAACATTTATATCGAGCTTTGTGAGCCCGCTGAACCTATTCTAAACAGGTTGGATTTGTTTGGTTTTGTCAACTCTAAACTTACTCCTAAACTCTGAGTTTGTTCATCTTGCTTCATGCTACAGGCCACAGATCCCATGTGGTTTGTGCGGTTCACACTGTCATGAAATAAAAGGGTCTGAGTCACATATTGTAATTTTTATGTTCCATTCTCTTTGGTTTTGTTCTAGTTTTACTTGTTTGACCTAGTTTCCTTTGTTTCTCTTTCCCGCCACTAGTTTGTTACCTTAGTTACTCATTAATTTGATTAGTGTCTGCACCCGTTTGATTGGTTTGTTTCAGTGCATTTAATTCCGGTGTTTTCTTTTGTTCATTGTCAATTCTTGCATGTAACTCAGTTGTTCTGTTCCTGTTTTCAGTTTGTTTAAATAAAACTAAATTGCTGCATTTAGATCCTCACCCCATCCTTATTTTTCAACTGGTTTGTAACACATAAGGGCAAAAATTGGATTTGGGCCACATTTTCCTGCAGTGTGAACGTAGCCTAAAGTGCCCAGAGATAATATGGGGGGAAAAAAGTCAAAGGTAGGGAGACCATACGTCCTCTTTTTTCCCCCCCCAGACACGTCCTGTCCAGGATTTCTATATTGCCTAAAGTGTCCGATTGTTGTTTGACATCAAAGTACCATGAGAGCTATAGAGAGCAGATGGCTCCTTATGCTTTTGAATCGCTCTCATGGTACTTTGATGTCATTCACCAATCGGTCTGCACAGAGCTTCTTCAAGTTGAACACACCTAATGTTTTAACTGATGTTGTCATGTTGATTGACCAAGATGGTCAAACAAAGAGAGCAATGTCCTGATAGTATCCCAAATTCACAGTATTTAATTATTCCTGAATTACCTATGGATGCTTGAAATATTTACATATTACACACATACCCTTTTAAAAAAACTATTTTTCTGCTCTGTTACAACAACACATATTTTCTTACATTTTTTAAAAAACTGTCCATCCATTTGTTGATGTCCATTTGTCTAACTCTGTCTTCAAATATATCAATCTGAAAAAAAAAGAGATTTCTTTGTTTAATATATCTATTATACACATGACAAACAATAAATGTTTTATGAAAAGTAGGCATTCTTACAGCCGGTCTGAATCCCTGATTAATCAAAAAATTCACAAAGGGCATCAACTCTGCTGCAGTGTCCACAGAATAGGTTATGAAAATGTCTCCTATAAATCATGAAAATTACATAGGTTGTCAGAGTTCATGGAGATCTAAAAAACTGTTTTTGAAGCATCACTTACTGCAGTCATCAGGAAGACTAATGTTGCGTCTCAGTGTTTGAGGGTGGCCGACAGCAGCTGGTTGGGAAGGCTGGACACACACTTCTGACATGAGCTCTCTCACAGGGGCTGTGCTCTGACGGGATGTGACTTGAGGGGGCCTCACAACTGCCACTTGTCTAGAGATGGGCCTCCAAAGGGGAAGCAAAGCATTTATATATTTAGGGTAATACAGTTCAGTGTGTGTCATAACAACCGCACCTACGTATGCAAATACTATTCAATAATGGATATGATAATCAATAAAACTTTAATATAAAAAGTATTACTTTAAGCATATTTAAAGTCTAGCACTCTCTATTCTAATTCTAAGAAAAAAAAGCACTTGACCCCCAACACTTACACTCTATTCTTTTTCCATTCTTACTACGTTTTTCTTTTAATTTATTATAAAAAAAAAAAAAACTTGCTACGTGTACTGCGTTAGACTAACAGAGACTTGTCACTCACATATTATTGCCCTTTTGTTGATTTCGATTGCTTCTATTGTCCTCATTTGTAAGTCGCTTTGGATAAAAGCATCTGCTAAATGACTACATGTAAATGTAAATGTAATTTTAAAGCAAAATCTCTTTGGTCCCCACACACCCAGAGCACTTTCTCTTTGAACTGTTGCCCTCAGGTCGGCGCTCCAGAGCACTGAGCACCAAAACAGCCAGGCACCAGAACAGCTTTTTCCGTCAGGCTATATTCATTCTAAGCAAATAAAACTGTACATTGTCTCTCATAGCTGTATATTTGTAGATAACATCTCAGAATTGTACATCTGTGAATAACATCTTAAAACTATATATCTTTAAATAGCATAAGTACATTAATAAATCTTTTCTATATTTTTATTACAGTATTGTATTATATGTATTTATTTATTTTTTTAATCTTTTTACTATTCTGCTTTGGGTTTCATAAACTTGTCTCTGTAAATTTACATGAATTTAAAATGTATCTGATTTCTTGTGTGATGATGATCACAAGACCAGCAAAGTATGGGACATTTGAGGAACTAGTCAGCCTACAGCTAACTCATTCAATTTGATTGCATTTAACACAGTTTTTAACACAGTTTAACACAGTTCTGGGGCAGGGCTATGGTCTAAAGGGATAGTTCTATGGTCTTAAAGGGATAGTTCACCCAAAAATGAAAATTCTGTCAATTACTCACCCACATGTTCCAAACCCGTAAGATCTTTGTTCATCTTCGTAACACAAATTAAGATATTTTTGATGAAATCTGAGAGCTTTCTGACCCTGCATAGACAGCAATGGAACTACCACATTCAAGGTCCAGAAAGGTAGTAAGGACATCGTTAAAATAGACCATGTGACATCAGTGGTTCAATTGTAATTTTATGAAGCTACGAGAATACTTCGTGCACAAAGAAAACAAAAATAACCACTTCATTCAACAGTTCTTCTCTTCCGTGTCAGTCTCTGCCGCCATTCATGAGAGTACCATGACGCACGCATGTGGTGCTGCTGATGCAGAAGCCAGCATTCTCATATAAAACCCGGATGTGCTGCGGCTTGTTTACAAGCAGAGGAATGAACACGCATGCGTCGTGGTACTGTCGTGAATGCGTGTCGAAGTCTGAAGCGGAAGAGAACAAAATGGTTGAATAAAGTCGTTATTTTTGTTTTATTTGTGCACAAGTATTCTCGTAGCTTCATTAAATAAGGTTGAACCACTGATGTCACATAGATTATTTTAACAATGTCCTTACAACATTTCTGGGCCTTGAACGTGGTAGTTCCATTGCTGTCTACAAGTCATGGCCAAAAGTTTTGGCAGTGACATAAATTTTGTGTTTTGCAAAGTTTGCTGCTTCAGTATTTGTAGATTATTTTTCCACATGTTTCTATGGTATACTGAAAAACAATGATAAGCATATCATAAGTTTTAAAGGCTTTTATTGGCAAAAAAATATGAGTCAATATTGACAGTGTTGACCCTTGTTCTTCATAACCTGTGCAATTCGCTTTGGCACGCTGGATATTAGCTTCTGGGCCAAATCCTGACTGAGGGCAATCCATTCTTGCCTTATTAGTTCTCGGAGTTGATCACAATTTGTGGGCTTCTGCTTGTCCACTCGCCTTTTGAGGACTGACCACAGGTTCTCGATGGGTAGCGTTCACCTTTTCTTCTCCAAACAATCGATTTTCCAGATGTCCCAAACAGTCGGAAGGGAGCTTCATCAGAAAAAATTACTTTGCACCAGTTTTCTGCTGTCCAATCCTTGTACTTCCCGCAGAATTTCATTTACATTTGAAATTACATTTTTCTTGGAGAGAAGTGGCTTCTTTGCTGCCCTTCTTGACACCAGACCGTTGTCCAAAAGTCTTGGCTTCACTGTGCATACAGATGCTTTCACACCAACCTGCTGCCATTCCTGAGCAAGCTCTGCACTGGTGGTGACACAATTCCGTAGTTGACTTCTCAGGAGGAGAAGGTCCTGGCACTTGCTGGACACTCTGGGACATCCTGAAGACTCCTTCACTGCAGTCGGTCCTCTCTCTTTGAAGTTCTTGATGATCCGGTAAATGGTTCTTTCAGGTACAATATTCTTTGTAGCCATTTCCTTGCATGTGATGCCATTTTGATGCAAAGCGATGATGGCTGCACTTGTTTCTTTGGAGGTAACCATTGCAAACAAGAACACAATGATTGGAAGTGCTTCTTCCATCCTTTTATGGCAATCAGTCCGCTCTTACGATCTAATTAGTATGATAGTGATTTCACCTGACTAGTACTCATTCACACTTTCACATGTGCTGCTGATATGATTAGTCAATTAATGTTAGCTGGTCATTTTGTGTCAGGATCAAAAAACAGTGAAATTTGTTTGTTTTTTTGTGAAAAGTTCATTTTTGGGCCAATGAAGCTTTTAGCAATTATTTAAAATGCATCTGATCACTCTACACAATAATCTAGAGACAATGTGAATGAACACCACAACAGCTTAAGCAGCACACTTTGCAAAACACAAAATTTAAGTCACTGCCAAAACTTTTGGCCATGACTGTATGCAGGGTAAGAAAGCTCTTGGATTTCATCAAACATATCTTAATTTGTGTTACGAAGATGAACGAAGGTGTTACGGATTTCGAACGACATCAGGGGGAGTAATTAATGACAATTGTCATTTTTGGGTGAAATAACCCTTTAACGCCTTATGTATTATGATCACAGAATTAAAAATTGTATGTGTGAATCATAAAACCAAAGACACTTGAAAAAAATATTTACAAAAACATGAAAAAAGGGCTAAATTATCAGAGCTGCAAGCAAAATGTTTCCATTTCCTACAATAATCAATTTTTCCTCACTGTGACATTTTTCATTGCACTTTTATTTTCTCCCTACTGACACTTTGTTCATTGCTCTTAGTTCTTCACTTGTGATTCTAAATGTTATACTTCAATTTTCATGCAGAGTAGGATGGGTTTAATGTCTCTATTGATCCCCTTTTTCTGTATTGACAGTTCTTCCTATCCAATGGACTACTTGCAGTGAGCCTTGTGACTACAGCTCATTTATTTCTGGTTATGTATATTTTCAATGTGCCGTAATCATCTAGTTGACTTAAATGGCTATAAAAATGAGAGTCCGCGGGATGATTTCAAAATCCAGACATTTTCAGAGACAGGAGAAGAATTATTCTGATGATTACAGTGTGCAGAATTTTCCAAACTCAATGGAATGTGAAGTTTTAATCCAGCATAAACCGATCTGATAAAGCAGTGACTGGTAATCATACGTGATTGTTTCACCACAGGGTGTCAGTGCACCAAACTAGTAATCGCGACGCTGCAGTGTATGTGAGATCTGATAAAATCAGAATGAACCTTTATTTATCTGTATTAAATACGTTTAAAAATATATATGTAAATATGTCACTATTCTGTGTAATTTTTAATTCACAATCATTTCACTGTATGCAATGGCAAAATGTGAATATTCAAAGTAGTCGCACTGTCAACACGTTACTGTTAATTTTTTTTTTATGTTTAACAGTTACATTTCTTTAAGGCAGTTACCGCACATTCATTCAACCATTTTAACATTGCTCTTACGAAAATTAGCCATGGTTATACTACAAATAAAACCAAAAAATTGCAATTGTGGTTAAACCATAATAAACCACAAATAAACCTGGGTTTTGCTACACTAACCATAGTTTAATCATGGTGTTTAAAATAGGTTATACAAATGGTAAACTGCAAAAATGGTAAAACCATGGTTATTTTTCGTAAGGGTGTTTATCAGTCAAATTCATTTAAAACTATAAATTCAACAGGTATGAAATATGATCAGTAAGAGAAAAATGCGAAGACAAGCGCTGACCTCGGCAGGTTAGTGGGGAAATATATTTACTTATTATTCAGAATGCATATTTGGAAGAGAAATATATTCATAAGAACATTTCAGCAGGTTGAAGATAATTCATGTTAACACAGAGAATATAACTAATGGTTTAAAAAAAACTGCAAGCCCTAAAATGCAGTAATAATCTGCTTTTTCATGAGAAACGGTCTGTATGTAGGTGCGCTAAACTCTAACTGGAAACTCACGAGCTGTACTCAGTAGAACGCGGACGTAGTTGTGCAAGTAGTCCATTAATCAGTGTGGGGAGTGATGTCACTACTACACGGCTTTGGCTTCCCTGACTTTTAAAAGATATGTTTATGTCTCTGTTATCCCTGTGAGTTATGCGTTATGGCCTAAAGAGCTTTTTTCAAGTTGTTGCACACTTAACTGCACTCAAATCACAATGATGGTGATAGGTGACAGGTCAAAAAATTATGCAATTAACATGCTTGTGGAGTACAAAATCTAAAATTCTACCAACTTTTAAAAAAATAATAAACAAAAAATATGTAAACAATTGCCTAACAATTTTCTAACTCCACCAACTTCTTATGGTTTACAGTGTACTTCTCCCAGTGGTCATTTATTTATACAGTGCCTGATACAATACAGATTGTTTCAAAGCAACTTCACAGTAATAAACAGGAAAATAACAGGGTTTATGTTTGAAAAATGTATCAATTACGAAACAACCTGAATTTCAACTGCAAAGCAACTCTACAGAAGGCAACAGTTTCATTGTTTAGCCCAATTTAGTTTAATGTTGATTCAGTTCAGTTTAATAACTGTCAATGTTGAAAAGTTCATCAATTATGAAAGGCAGCTCTACAGAAGCTGATAATAACAACCTTGTTCAGCTCAGTTTAGTTCAAGTTTTGTTCTCAGCCGATAGTGTCAGTCAAAGGAGTCAAATTGGTAATATTTGTGAATATTAATTGCAAATAATCATTAATTTATCTTATTGTCTGACATCAGATATTGTAACTTCACAAGTTTTTTTTTTTTCAGCTGTTTAAAAAGGTTATTATTTCATAGGAAGGAAGTTTCAAAAGGTCCCAAGTTCTCAAGCTACAGTGTTTTCATAGTACATCAAGCTCTTTAAGAAAAAAAAAAGTTTTGTCAAGATACAGTATGACTGCTTTCATTTTTGTTGTTTAAAAATGGAATTTAAGATTGGTAGTTGGCAAATTGCAAAAAAGAAGAAAAATAAAAAGGTGTATAAAGTTAAGTGTTATGAACATAATACCTTGCATACTCAGGTAGGGGATGATACAGCGGGCAGTTGGGCTGTGGATAATTTGCAGGTTGCTTGTGCCAGTGATATAAAACCTCTGGTGGGTACTCATCTATAAAGATACATTAACATATGATGGTAAACACAGAATTAAATGCATAGTTCAGTTATGACTGCATTATCTGCAGAGGCAACTCATTCAGGCCCACACAGAATCTGTGTGCACAGAGCTGTTTGACCAATGTCTGTGAATAATGATTTGCTGGATAAAACCTGTGTCAAATTTCTGAACAGCCAATAATCTCTAATCCACTACCAAACACTGATTAAACATGTTTAATCACCCAACTGATGAGATTCGACTAGTGCAGACGTTGTAAAACACACTGCAAAAACTGGGCTGACAGATGCTTACTGATGTCGTGGTGTGTCACAGCCATAAGTCAAGACACAGAGACTCCAAAACAGACATTATTGTGGAAGAATATAGCTCAGAATTTATTTCTTGTGTTTGTGTGGTTTTCACTCAGTGTGTCTCATCAACGGAAGCTCCACAACATCAAATCAGATTAAACCTGGTTTATTTCCTGTGCATACAGTACATGCAACTTCATCCATGTCAAAGTTTGTTTCAGACGTCTTAAAGTAATGTTTCTAATTTCTATCAAAGTTTTGGTACATCACTAACGACTTATCTAAAGAAACTTCTGTCTTGAGTTGCTGCGTGGATGAGCACTGATAGAAATGCATTCTCACTGGCTGCATGTATGCCAACCACTGATGAAAGTCAACATTGTGCGATCACGGATGCAGAATATCCCACTACATTTATGTGTTGCATAGCTTATACAGGCTAATAATAATAATAATAATAATAATAAAGCAATCAGTTTGAATCAGAAAACCTCCCCCATCGAAATTCACTTCCTGGACTCAGTCCCCCATGTCCCAGCCCCATTAAGAGTGTAGTACTTTAAGACCAGTTTAACACATTTTATCATACTGAAATCTATTCTAATCTATTGATTCTGATGAAATGGGGGGATATTGTAATTTAAGTGGGGCTGTCAATGTAACAACACAGACAACTTGCAGATGTGCTACGGAAGTGTGTAAGCTAAAGTGGGCATTAATGTGTTGTTGTGGAGGTGTCTACCACAGTGTGACATAAAATAAAGTAAAAAAAAAAAAACATTTTGCGTTTAATCTTGATTTTATTAAACCTGGTGTCTCTGACAGCAGATTGCCATTTTGGCTTGCCAAATCAAAAAGTTAATTAAACATGAATCCTACACCAATTATATTTGGGTCCATAAACCCAAAGAATGGTAGAAAACATGGTAGAGTCATTTTATCATCATGGTTTCTTTTGCCATTTACAGAGCGAGAAATTTTGAGGTCTGAAACTTAAAGGCTTTTTATAGCACAATGACCGCTTCTATGTCAAAAGATCAAAGAAACTTTGATTCCTCATATCATTACCCCTTTAATCATACCAATAACAGGCATACCGTAAAATCCTGGCTGTTTTGCTGGAGAATATCTGCAGGAAATCTCTCCCAGGTCAGAGCGAAGAGGACTAGGCTTTTCTAGACTCTCCTCATCCTCACTCACATGGTTCTGGGTGTGTGAATATATGACAGGGGAACTGCAGCGATTTTGAAGACTGATGCCTGAGAAATCTTCACTCAGATCTTCTATGTGGGCTCTACAGTCTCTCTGAAGGTGTCTTCCTGAACTTTGAGGCAAGTAGAGACTGGGCAAGCCTACAGGGCTCTCCGTGTGTTGTGAATCACTTATGGAAAGTTTGGTGAGGGGACTGACCCTTAAATCTTTAGGAGGAAGGCCATAGCAACCATCTAGATAATCCAATCTACTTACATCACGAACACACATCTCTGGGCTGAATCTATTACTTTTTCCTGTGTCTTTAAGGATGTGTGATTGGCACTGCTGGCATGCAGGCCAGACCAGATTGAGAGAGGACAAGGTCATAGACTCATCAGTCTCTACAGGCATACTAAGATGTGGACAGCAGTCTGAGAAAACAAAACAAGTGGACAAATGGAGAGAGAGAGGTTTGTGGTTGGTGCATTACGGACATAATCAATAATGTCTATACCTTTAGACTGATTCAGATAAATACCTTTTAGAGGCATTAACTTAATAGAAGTAGTACTGCTATATAGTGGTTCTCAACTGGTAGCATCCTTGCCTAAAAATAGGTCATAAGTAGGGATGTAACGATGTACCCTGAGCTGATTGAAAATCGATAAAAATATGTGACGATTCAGGTTGGTTGAGACGAATCACAATAGAGTTGGGGGTGGGGTTTATATTAATGTATCTCTGAAGTGAACTGACTGTATTCAGAAAAGTTTAGATGCTTTTTTTTCATCTTGAATATTAATGTAGTATTTATAAGCACAGAGCTGCTTTGTTTACAGCGGTAACCAGCGTATATTGCCGCTGTTCCATAAGCGCCACGTGTTGTCAGAGAGTGAATTAGCATTCTCATTCAGTCCATCTGCTGTTTCGGTTTCATTTTATGTACTATAATTACTGTATATGTTTTATGTAGTATAGTTTCACAAAGCTCAAGTCAGACCATCCTGTTTTTGTTTCAAAATTCGAAATTATACAATTTAAATAAAAAACTACTCATGCTTCAAGTATGCAACATCTTTGTTTGTATCATGGTTAAAATCAGAGGTGGGGGACTAGAGTCATATGACTTGACTCGAATCAGACTTGTCGCAAATTTTAGGACTTGAGACTTCCTTGACAAATATTCATAAAAGACTTGACTTGACTTTGACTTGATATTCATGACTTGAGACTTGACTCGGACTTGAGTTAAATGACTCGCAATAACTTGTCTTTCGTTCAATAAATATCTGTTTGTTTTTGAACGCACCGCAACCTAACCAAGTGCAGGCAAGCAGAGAGAGCTAATGTAAGATCGTGGACACAGTGTTGGCAACTTAGCAACTTTGTCACTAGATTTAGCGACTTATCAGACCCCTTTAGCGACTTTTTCCAAAAAAGCGCCTAGAGACAAATCTAGCGACTTCTTGGACAAACCTTATTTAGTTCCCTTTCGAGGGAACTTCGAACTGCGTCCTCTAGAGGTCGCTATGGGGAACGCCTTCGGCGTGACAGATGTCTGAAGCATACATCTAAACACGACAATAACATTGGCCGGTGACAGCCCATGACGCAATTACCGGTGCGACCACAGTATAAAAGGGCGCCGGAAGAACGTGTCATCCTCTTCTTCGTCTTCACTGACCGTTTGTTTATTTTAGCGACAAGCTAAGCACGACTAGGAGTGCATGTTCTCTCGCTAGAGTCTTTGCTCTGTTACCCGCAGTTTCACACGGCTCGTGTGTTGGGTGTGTGGTGAAGAGCAAGCGCGTTCGGCTCTCGAGGGAGTTGAATGTGCTCTGCATTCATTGCATAATTCTTGTGAGGGATAGGCATGAATTGAACGCGCTCTCATGATAAGACAGCTTGTGCTCATTGTGATGCATTCGCGGGACTACTGAAGGGGAAGTGAGTGCTTCACAATTTACCCGAGTTTGTAGATAGCGTCTGCATGAGTGCGTTTGCCTCTTGCGGGAATAGCAACGCATTCCCGGCAGTGGTTTTCATTCTCGCTTGATTTCCGAGGTGATCTAGCGCGTAGGCGGAGTGTGTTTAGCTCCCGCGGAAGCTGAATGCATGCTGCGCATTGCGGTTGCGGTGAGATTGTCTGCCCATTGCCCGCGATTCGCGGTTGATAGGCAAGTTCAAGTTCATTTTATTTGTAGAGCACATATACAACAGCCACCAGGCTGACCAAAGTGCTTTCCAGAAGAGCAACAATTTTACCACATACACAGAGAACAAACCAGACAAAAATTTAAAACCGCACGTTTAAAAATTACCATATCACAGTAGTCAATACACTAAGGAAAACAAATAAGTTTTTAGCAAGGACTTAAAAACAGACAAAGAAGGGGCCATTCTAATCTCTAAAGGTAGGGTATTCCAGAGTTGTGGCCCTGCCACTGCAAATGCATGCTCCCCTCTATGCTTAAGCCTAAAGTGAGGGACCACCAACAAGGCCTGGTCACAGGATCGTAGGCTTCTAGACGGAGTATAGAAGTAAAGAAGGTCAGATAGATAGACAAGAGCTTTGTTATGTAGGGATTTATATACAAAGAGGAGAATTTTAAAGTCTATTCTCTGACAAACCGGCAACCAGTGTAGAGATCTAAGAATTGGAGTGATGTGTTCATGTTTACGACACTTTAAAAGAAGTCTGGCCGCAGCATTTTGGACAAGCTGAAGACGCGCAGAACTTGGAAAAGACCTGACGGGAAAATTTTTCCCTATCAGTAATTTCCTTCTGTTTATATAGGAATTGTATAGTGTGAATATCTTTCAGCAGTAGTTGGACAGATTATTTATATCATGTCCTTATCAGATAACCACATTATACTGCACTCTGGGAGCCCATTTTTGGAACCTTTACTTTCATTCAGGGTTGTATGACTCTCTGTGCTCAAGTGTTGGCTTCCTTGATGTTTGGCCCTGAACTGAGCTGGCACTCCTGTACTCACAGTTGGGTGTGGTAGAATATCATGCTCTCTGGGGCTAGAGGCAAGACGGGGGAGAGGTGATCCGGACGAGGCGTTCCCAACACCTTCGTCCAGACCAGAGTAAACCTAAGCATCTACTCACCTCCCTCTGAGGGTATTAACATCTGCTCTCATCTTCCTCCCCTTAATTCCCCTAAAGCCACCCACCTGACCGAGGTTAGGTAGGAGCCTCCTGTGCTTGCATTGCAGTCTCTCATGCTGGACCTATGATATTTTGGTTAGTTTCTATGTCTTATAGAACTACCTACTGAGGGTCTGGACCCAAGTGCTCTTTGGACTTCGCCTTCAGATTATATCCGTGAGCCTGAGTAATGCGCGGGAGCTGGTTGGTGAGTACGATCCATTTCATCTACTCTACTGCTAGTTTTATGTGATTTCACAAACTAGCTTTTCTCCGCAGCGCTACTTGGAACTGTCTTTATTGTTCTGACTTTGTTTTAGGATTAGGACCTCTATGAGCACCTCC